CAACCTAGCGTTGTTGGCTCGGAAATCTTGGCGCTTTCTTGCGGTGCCTGACTCACTTTGTGCACAGTTTCTCAAGGCCGTCTATTATTAAAGCAATGGTATTCTTAATGTCGAACTAGGATCACACCCGTCTCAAGTATGGAGGTTCATCTTGGAGAGAAGAGATGTACTCTCACAGAGCATCATTAGGCGCATTGACGATGGCGCAACCACACAGGTTTGGACTGAAAAATGGATCCCGAAAGACGCATCGATGAGACTAGTTGCTTGCCTGGCCAGCTACCATCCTACATTTTCCAGCAATCTGATTGATAGCACTTTGACGCCATGGAGAGATGATAAGTTGTAGAAATATTTTCTTCCCTCTAACGCTCAAGCAATAAAGAACATATCCCTTTGTACAACCTCAATGGCAGATTTTTTTGGGCTTGGCAATTTGAAAAGAAAAGACAATTTTCTGTCAAGTTGGCTTACCGCATTTTGGTTAACATAAGAAACAATAGGGAGGGCTTGTTAGATTAGAGAAGGGTTGCTTCTAATGGTGCGACAGAGGAAAGGTGATGGACATCTCCATGGAACACCCAGGTTTCCGGTAATCAAAACCTTCCATGAGAAGTTGGCAAGATTGGAGGATGCGCGTCACCATAGGAAGATGTAGCCACACATGTTTGCCAGATCTGTGGAGGTGTTGATTCTTGGAGGCATTCATTGATTAATTGCACTGCTTTGAGCGTGTGTTTGGGCTTTAGGCCATGAAGAATTGACTAGTCATATTATTGAGTCTCACAAACCCAATGTGAAACATTGGATCTTTAACATGATGGAAGCGTTATCATGCGTGGATTTCATGAAGATGGTCATCACTGTTTGGGCGGTGTCGACCACACGAAGAAAAGCAATACATGAGGCAATATTCCAAAGCCCGATGTTGACACACCTCTTCATAGAAAATTTCATCACCGAGTTGGATGGCCTGAAAAGAACTACCGGTACTGTCATACCAAGGAGACGCGCACATGCGATCACCACACCAAATACTCGGAAGCCTTCTCCGAACGGCCACGTAAATATCCATGTAGGTGGCGGACTGTCTCACGGCGGGCGTGTCGGTGCAGTTGCAGCAGTGTGCGGAGATGAACAAAGTAATTACCTCGGGTCTTCAGCAATTGTTCTACCCGGAGTCAATAATCCAACAGTTCTTGAAGCCATAGCATGCCACGCGGCCTTGGCACTAGCTGTAAACCGATCGACTGTGGACGACATAAAAAAAGGTTTAGATAGCCTCATATCACAATTGTGAAGGAGATAGATAGAATGAGAGCAAGCTTTATTAGTTGTGATTTTTTGTTCAAAGGCCAAGCTTCAAATCAGGGTGCACATGACCTTGTGGAATTTTCTGTTTTGCTTTCTCAGTGTCGCCACTTGTGGCTCATTTTTCCACATGACCCTCTTTGTATCCCTTTAAATATTGTTTGATTAATTTCTAAACATGACCATTTTACTAAAAATGCTGGAAATAAAATACACATTTGTACAAGGTTGCGTGTGTACGGTTTGGTTCAAATCATGGGGTCGTGTTTACATATCTTTGCACACCATCAAAAAAAAATTGCGGGGTGAAAAGGAGTTTTATTTCAAGATTATAGGGTTACAATCCCAAGCCAATTGCTCCTCACAATATGGAGGACTCGAGTTCAACCATACCGTAACACTCGGTACGGCTATAATGTGTCAAGAGATGTGCTACCATATTCTGCTCTCTACCAATTTTACAAGGAACAAACTCCTTAACATCCAAGTGAGTTTTAGTCTCAGCGTCAAGATGAACATAGGCTGATCAGGATAGTGTGTCATCGGTAAAAGTTGCCAATGCATTTGAAGAATCCGATTGGACCATCACCGTTGATTTGTTTTGCGGAACACATGCGTATGCTTCATAGTTGCACCTTTTACACATCTCCAGACAGAAAAATAGTCAGCAAAAAATAGATAAATTTGTCTATTAATTAACTCTGATATAATAGCGTGACCTTGACCCTGATCAAACAGGCTGCCTCCACGGAACCACATTGTTCACCAACACCAGTCATGCCTACATGTTCCTGGCGCGGCCAAGCGCGAATATCCAGCATGTGCTCTGGAATTTGGAAAGACTAAGAGCATTACTAGTAGAACCCTCAAACCCTCAAATCCTCACTAGCGTTTTAAGGGTCTAAAAATGATCTTTTTTGCATTTTTACGGGTTGAAAAACAGGGGCAAAGATTAGAACCCTCAAACCAACCCTTATAACGAAATATTCCCCATGAACGACATTGTCGTTGCGCGCGGGAAGTCGACGGGGCGGCCGCCGGGGCGGCCGCCGGCGACGGGGGCGACTAGCAGCGGCGGTCGCGGGCGTGGACGCGGGAGTTGGGAGGATTTTTCCCTCCCGTGCGAGGATAACCGCCAAATGAGGGTTGGGGTAGGTTTTGCTCCCCAACCCTTACTTTTAAGGATTGAGAGAGGGTTTGAGGGTTGAACCTTTAAAAAAATTTAAGGGTTTGAGTGTTAAGAGGTTCTAGTCTACGATTTTTTTGACGAAAATTGTAAAAAAAACAGTTATTTTTAAAGGTTTGAGAGTTTGGGGGCTCTACTAATAATGCTCTAAAAAGGGCAACTCCTTCCCGTAAACCAAGGTATACCTCCCGGCCTCTCATCTTGCACCGTCGTAGTGACCGCTGACCCGGAAGAGATGCAAATGGAAGATCAGGAGGAGTTGGTTCCAACATCAATATCAACATCTTCACGGCTCGAAAAATTAAATTCAACATCTTCGGCCGGGGCCGCGGCAGCTCCTTGGCCATGGAGGCGTTCTTGTTGTTCCTCTTCCAGGAGACGTTCCTTCTCCGAGGCCATGGCGAAGCGGCAAAGCGGGCACCGTCGGTCAATCAGAAGCCAGTCGAAGATGCAGCGTTGGTGGAAGGAGTGAGTGCAGTCCATCGTCCTGATCTTCTTGTAGCAGCCGGGCACGAAGTCGTCGAAGCAGATGAGGCAGAGATGTTCTCTCGTCTCGCCCGCCTTCGCCAAGGGAAGGGCCAGCATGGCCGGCAGCGACGCCGGGTCCCTTCTTTCGTCCTGCTCTCTGTCGAGCCTCTCCTGCTCGTCGAGCCGGGCGTCCAGCGCGTCCCACTCAGGCGGGCGCTCGAACTCGTCCCGCCCCCTCCTCCTCCCGCTCCCGCTCGCCGGCGCGTCGCAGCCATTCTCGACGTGATCCTCTCCTCCTCGCGCTGCTGACTCCATTGGGCTCTAACCGGAGACGGGATTTAGTTGACACGAGGCTTGCTCTTGATGACTGATGATTTGGATGGGAGACCCGCGTATGTGCTCGAACAAGTCGCCGGCTACACAGACGAATACATTGTCCAAAGTATACGGTGATTAACTCCACAACATAGTGGTTAACTCCACAACATAGAGGATGCCAACACGTCGGAACATATACTAGCGGTTGGGGCGCGCCCATGGCGCGCCGCCTGAAAGGAGTTTTGGGCGGTGCCAACTTGTAGGCGCCCCTTTCGTTGCTTTTGGTGCTCTAACATGTACGTGAATATTAGTATATTTTAGTACGGCTGATTGTTTATAGTCAGTGATGACAGTTCATATATGATACTGAAATGACAATTGGACCGCTAATTATATCATATCCATTAATGCATAAACAAAGGAAAATATGTTTATTACAAGTAGAGGAACATCTATTCAGTGCACAACCATGAACAATTGGTGGCATAATTTCTATATCTGAATTGATCATGTTGGCCACATTTGTAGCAGGAAGAGTGTCCATTCATAAAGCAGACCAGGCCTTCCTTCTCCTTTTTTCGGAATACCTCCTTCTCCTTTGATATCCTTTCTTTGATGTCTTCAATGTTTGTCCTGTAAATGAAATGAGTTCTCATCCCAAGTAAACTATATTGTGTGACTCTTAAGTTTTAACAAGTTGAAATGAGCTGTTATAAATCAAGATAAGGTGTGCTGAACTTTCAAAAAGAACATATTCATGCATTTATATAGGTTCATTATTGAATGAGCTTTCATCCCAAGTGAACTGTATTTGGTGAATTCTGAACAAAGAATAAATCAAGAAAAGTTGTGCTAGATTTCCAGAAAGAACATATTCATGCATTTATATAGTGCAAAAGAGAACCTCCGCTGCAATTGCAAATCCTAACCAGCATATCCATACCATGTTATCACAATTTTTCAGAGTAAACACAATTTTTGGAACCCATAAATTCCACAACAGAATCTCAAAGGCAAAGGAAAAAGTTTGTACTTGTCTAAAGATAATGCGTCCGGTATTTGTTCTTCGAGAAACTGATCTATGACCCATACAAACTCACACAGATGGCTACGTGTGTTGGAATGTTTGTATCTAAACACTCTGTGGGTAAGCTGTGCTACTAATTAGGCTATTGTACTTGTTATTGCTTTTTGGCGCTGTGGGTACGACATGTGCATGGTAGTCTTACTGAACTTATTTTAGCGAGAAGACATGTAGTACAGATGAGTGACATGTCCATGTTGCTGGTTAAAAATATAAGACATGGCAATAGAATTGCAGTAGGAACAGTGCACATTCAAAAACAAGAGCACGCATATGGGTTTTATAGATATTAATAGGATGTATAAATAGAGAAGCAACAGTTTTACAGGGTAGATGACTGATCGCAGAGACACGACAACTGGTTCAAACTAAGGGATAGCAGTCACTTAATTATAGTGAATATTTTCTCTAACATGGGAATATGCTAAGAATACAAATTAACCCTGAAACAAATCGATGGTTAACAAGCTAGGTCCTATTTTTCTGGACCAAACATCAAGTAAACAGTAGCAGTCACTCATAAATTATTTGACTAAGATCTCTTCATGGTATCCCCTAGTCCAAGGTTGTACCTGATGTTGATGGGGATCCAATTTGGTTGTGTAGCTCCTTGTATTTTTTCTCTCGCCAGCATCAATGTAGACGACAGGTGGCGATGGTCTGAGTCTTCGCTTGCCTGCCCTGGGTGCCCATGGCAAAGAAGATGCCCGTGGGATTGCCCGAGATGCTCTGGTACTGCCAGAGGCCACCGTTGGAGTCGAAGAAGGCCTTTATCTGCGCCGCCATCATGCCGAACCGCATCAAGAAGCAGAGCAGGATGTCAGCTTGCTCACCGTGATGACGGGGTGGTCAACTTTGTTTCTTTGTTGCTGAAAGTATTTGCCGAGGTCTTCCCGTGTAGATTTTTTATTTTCCAACAACCTGTAGTGATATATGATCAAAAGCAAAATTAAATTATTATGCGAAGATAGCAGAGTCATAGTGTGCTTTAGGCTTTAACATTTTCATGAACATTGGGTAAGCATGCTTGTGACCCAAAAAGGGATTAAAGTGGAAGTGTAAAGACTTCTTGATATAGTTATGAATTGTAAGGTTAGCATTCAATAAACTCACTTGGGTTTGTTTTGGATAATATTTTATCCTTCCTTCCCTAACCAAAATTCCAACTAATGAATGGAAGAAGGAGCATCAGTACTGACAGACTGAAACTTCCAATCCATTTCCAACATGAAACCAGAGATAAACTGGAATCACCGGACTGCCAACTATAACATCAGTGAAATAAGGAATTTTCGGTTGTTACTCTTGCAAGTCAGGATAAAGCACCACCATGCAAATATTTCATATAGTCGCAAAATGCTCTGTTTGGATGAACTCTGTTGCTCAACTGAGTTTTAGAATAAAATGAATTAGATATTTCAACATCATGGAGCATTTATATTTTCTTTTACCATCTCATGATTTTTTGTTACCCAAGAGACTCCAGACTTCCATACTCAATACTATGATTGTTTTTCATACATCAGACTTACATTTGGCAACCTGATTTTAACTCCAGCTAAGTTTACATCCTCAAAAGACAACATAAGAACATTCAAGTTTGAAGTTCCCAAAATAAAGGACGGCTGATCAAGGTCATCATAAAAAACAAGAAATAGAAATACCTTATTTCATGTCACAGTATCACTCTCAGTAGAGAAATGAGACACTATCTTCTCAAGAAAATTACTATTTTCACTTCGAAGAAGCAGAGTACATTTGTTCGTAAAAGTGAAATGTCACTCACAAATATATTGCTGATACTTCTAATAATCCTTTTTAGCAATTCTTACACAAAAAAGTACCTAAACACCAAAGGAAGATGAACATAACATGAAGACTAAATATCCACCATCACTAACATTCATAATTGTACAATGCCTCACATTTAGATTAGTCAAGTACTATGAACCTAAAGTTTTAAGGAGTGTGCATATTTTTTCGGAATGATTGTAGTGCGCATAGATCCAAGCAAAACACTCACCAAAAATTATTTTCAGATCTCCAACATCATCCTTCTTTAGTCCATTCTTACCCATAATCCGCTGGTGAACTGTACGCAAAGCAAGAAATCGACCAGCAACCCAGCACATGTCGGTGACACGTTCTGGCCGGCGTTCGACCCAGCACGGCAAAACACGTCTTGCCGCTTTGCCTCCTCTCGGCGCCATCGATGTCATTGCGATCAAAATTACGCCCTGAAGATTATCAGTGTCAGCAATTCATTCAAGGTTCAAATGTTTAGCAGAGCTCATATTACAAGGGTACCTCTGTCTAAATAATTGAGCCATGCAAATATTACAATGATTGGAAAGGGAAGTGTAGGACAAGAACAATGCAGCCTATAACAGACTCTACAAACAACCATAAATCAGAAAATACTACATGATACGAAACAAGCTGAATATTTCTAGAAGATATTTATGACTTTACAACACTACAACACTTACATTAGAACTGATATGCTCTCCAATAGAAAATGTCAGGTTCAGGTGGCCAAACTTTTCACAAAGCACCAACACCATTTCAGGCTGAACGTTATGTACCTAAACAAAATGAGCCGACTTAGTTCCATGTTTTTCTAATAGCTCTTTCCCCTTCCTTATTAGAACTAACTACTTGTTCTTACAAGATGACATGTACCTTATCGTACTTCTCAAATGATCACGTTCTTCTTGACTACAGTTTCTTCCTGTAGGTGGCACATCATTCCGCTCCTGAACTCAATGAATGTATACCTGACCAAACATTTACTCTGTCAATAAAGAGATAGCGCCCGTAGGAATTGTAAGATAGGATTCTACACTGACCTTTTAATCGGATATCCAAGTCTGCATGCCTTTCTTTTGCTTCAAATGAACTGACCAACTCCACACACAAAAAGGAAAGCCCAACAAATATTAGACTTAGTAAGCCACAACCATGCCACAACAACGACATTAAATTTGAATGTGTATATGGAAAGGCATAAATAAAGGAATGAGAAAAGAAAAGCACCTGCAATGGGACCATCGACAAAAATCATAACTGTCGAGCCAACCACAACAACGGGAGATCCCAGCAGTCCGACAATAGAGAGCACGAGCAGACGACAACCATCAACAGAAAAACGCTGGATCCAGCAGCAAACCCTAACCCATCCCTACACAGAGCAAAAGCAATAGAACAATAAAATGCCTAGATGTGCAGGACATCCAACAAATGCATATAGTAGGAACTCAGAGCAAACATCCTATCACAAATTAAGAATAACCCAAAATAATCCCACTCCACACAGGAAAGAAAACAGACACATGCATTAGTTAGTACTTAGTAGGCTAATTCAGTGCATCAATTAACTACCAAAACAGAGGCATGCTAGGCTAATTGGTGGTGGCTCAAAACATGATTTTCCAATAGCTTAAACAATCGTCTATATTATTCATACCTACATACTCAGAATTCGACATAGCACAAATATAGAGTTTCGAATTTACTTCGGAATTCATCATCAACATGTACACTGAGATGTTGTTATTGCAGATTACGGTAATCTATTTCAGTCATGAATTTACAGCTAAAATTTCAACTTTTATGTTACCCGTGAAGCAAGGTTTGAACCTCCTATGAAAAATTTGATTAAAAAAATAGTCAAACAGTATGTTGTTTGTGTGATATGAAATAACTTCAGAGTTGAGACTTTTGACATGGCACACATATAGTTTGGCATAGCACAAGTACGGAGTTCCTCTGATAATCAACAACCAAAATGTCTGAGAGCTCACCGTAATGCCTTGGTATCCGGCGAGTTGGAGTGGAGCGTACTGGAGCATGCATCCATGGCCGGTGGAGAGCACAAAGCGTCCGCGGTCGGCCTGCACATCCACAAGACTTTATGTTTTTGTAGAATTGCGATCTGGAAAAGAGTTGCTAAAGCATACATCTTCTCTAAGAGGATGAACTCAACCTCATCGTCATTCTTTGCAGTAATATAGTAAATTGATACCTAGCAATTGTTTGAAGGATACACACCATTAGCATTGAGAATCATACACTAAAAGCACACCATACTAATAATCCGAGGTGTTTCCCAATAGATTTCTGTAATGCCTAAATCAACATAGGACATACCAGAAGCAACAGAGACTAACTTTCGTACTCCCTCGAAGATGGTATACATTTCAGAAGCCGGCAGTGTTTTTGGGCTCCTGCTGATTGCGGTGGGATTAGGGGTTAGAGTTTCAAAAGTGGTAAGGATCCAAACAGAGTTGACACGAGAACAAACCGTTCGGGTCAAAGTGGCCAACTCTTGATCTTTTGCTGCAAATATTGGACATCCATTATTTTGATCTTGGCTTCCAGTCTTGAAATATCAGACCACATACTGCTCATTGTATAACAGAAGCCACCATTAGACACATATAACATAGAGATTTAGCAATATCACCATTAGACACATATAACATAGAGATTTAGCAATATTCTATAAAATCTTCCAAAGACAGTCATCGGTGCGAGCTGTCGGATGCTTACATCAACAGACGCTAATTGCTTTTGGTGAAATGAATCCAAAGATCAGATTTAAGGGAAACAAGCGTGTAAAAGAGCATCAGTCATCTAGATTAAGAAGGGACAAGCTTCTATGATACTTCAGACAAACTAAATCTAACGACCTGCGGTAGTAAAAGATGTGTCATGGCATATGTGCTAATCAGGAAATATGAAAATCGACAGAAAAGTAGCTCCACACGAAGGGCATTAGAAGTGAAATCTGAACTATAAGAGTACAATGGACAATGGCATGAGGTGATAATACCCTGCACTGACCAGAACTTCCAATTTGAAGATAATTAGTGTGATAGGTATCTGCCGCACATCCCTGCTATTTGTAACCTGAGGTCCCGGACCAAAGAAACCACTAGCGGCTCTCTCAACAAAACTTGGGTCCAAAATCAGTGAACATGAGGTCCAGATCTCGGATTTCATACATCCATTTTTTTGCCAGAAAAGGCAAATGATAACTAAACTAACTCAGAGACGTGGAGGGGGGTGAGGTGGAGGCAAACCTGAACTACCTCGGCATCCTTGCTCCTACTCTTGTTGTGCCGGCAAGGAGAGGATTAAGGCACAGGAGCTGTCTGGCGTCACCCACCCGCTGAGGCCACCGCACGCCGCACCACCGCACTGACCCTCTCCCATTAGACGCCGCCTCCCTCTCCTATTTCCTCTCTCTTTCTCCCTCCTCTCCTTCTTCTCCTTCTCATCTTCACTCTCTCCTGCAGATTGAATCAAGCGCCGCCGCCGTCGCCCTTTGCTTGTAGGTTGCTGCTGCCGCCGGGG